GAAGCAGTTCTCAATCCATTGATTCTTTGTATTACTTTTAGTCTCAATTTCTTTAATTTTCTAGTGTCTTGAGGCGCATCATTAGGTTTTTATTTGACTTGATGTTTTTATGCTGTGCGCACTGAGCACAACAAACTTCCCTCTTGAGACTGCTTTCTTTGCATCCTGCAGGTTCTGCTGTGTTAGACCAGCATTACATTACTGTTTGATTCTAGGAATTAATTTCTCCCTGGATTTCTTCTGGGGCCAACTGAGTGTTTGGGAGAGTGTTCCCAAATGGCAAAATGCTTATAAAATCTCTGTGGTTTCTTCAGTGATTGACTTCTAGTTTCAGTGTCAGGTCAGGGCAGATTTAATCTATCTGGGATTCACAATTTGCACCAATAAAGAATCAGGAATACAAATTTTTTTTTGGTCTTTTTCATTTTTATCAGTACCAGGGATCGAACTCACGACTGCCTGCTTGCAAGGCAGGTGCTTATGCCACGGAGCTAAATCCCAGCCCAGGAATACAAATTTAAAAGGAGGAACAAACTCACTGTACTGGAGAGAGGAGATGAGACACAGCTGCCTCCTTAGAGTGAAGGGTTGGTGCTCAAGGGTCTTTGTCCTTCGCCCCTTTTGTTGCCGGTGAGGAGGGACCCGCCCCCCAAGGGTTATCATGGTACCTCGCTTGGCTTTTATCTGGGCTCTAGACCCCGGATTCAGGCACTGTCCCTTTTCACTGCCTATGTGTGAGTTCTTGGGTATGCTTCTCTGGTTTTGTTTTGGCGAGGTGGCATCTTTGAGATCTAGAGCAGAGCCTTACATTCGAGGCCGAGTTAGCAGTCAGGGTGCTGCGCACGTTTCAGTACAGCGACTCGGTGGAGAACACGGGGATGTCTGTGTCCGTGCCTGGGCAGTAAGGCCCAGTGTGGGCATGCTTTCATGCACTCAGGGAGTTCCACGCAGTGCAGCCCTGCGCGCTTTATATGGAACCCCAGGGGGAGAGGAGGAACCAGGCCCGGGCCAAGCGAGCTTAGTGCTGTCCTGACCCCCCCTGCTTAACCTCTCCCCGAAGTGGCCTTTGCAGAAACCTCCCCCAGGCTCTCACCTTTGCCCACCGCCCCCGATCTTCCCTCTAACAGTGGACAAGGGATAGTTTGGATTACCATGTATTTATTCCCAGGCTTTATGGACCAGGAAAGCTCTATTTTGGAGAAAGCCCTTTAATACACGGGTAGAACGTGCTAATAGCCATTAAGTTCATTTGTTTGAAGGTGTGGTTCGGCTGATGTTTCTGTTAATTTTTATTGTTTACGTATGTCAGTGGGGTGCCCAAGTCTCTACGATGGCATGCTGAGTCCCTGACATTCCCTGATTTGCAGTGTCTGCTGTGGGAAGGGCACTGTGTGCTGGCACGGAGGTGGTTCCAGCTGTTACACCTTCCTGCCTGGCTGTGGCCTGGATCACCGGGTGGTAACCTCCTTTGCCTCTTCTGTCCCATGTAGCTCGAAGTTTACTTTGTCTGAAATTAATATTGCTGTCCCTGCTGTGCTGGTGTTTTCTGTCCTTTGGTTTTTAGGCTATGGACTTCTCTCTGGATTTGATGTCACTTGAATGCAATGAGCTGCTACAGGTTTTACCCAGCCTGTCCGTCCACATGACTTCTTAGGTGGAGAGCTACTCTGAAGGATACTGCTTATTTCTGCCACTGAGTTTTCTGTGGTCAACCCCTTCATCTGTCCCTTACTCTTTAACTACTGACCTTGCTTACTGCATTCATTTCACCTGATCCCTTAGGTTTGTTGGCTCCGTTGTCTCTGTCTAGAATATTCTTGAGTATTTTTTAGGGTGCTGGTCTCATGTTCACATATCTCTTATGGTGTGGTCATGACATGTCCTTATTTCCCCACCAATTTTGAAAGATAGCTTTGCAGAATTTATCAGTCAGGGCTGAAACACTTCAATTCTCCTGGCCTTTAAAATTTGTGTTGAGGGCCGAGGACACAGCCCAAGGGCACAGCGCCTGCCTGGCCAGCAAAAGGCTCTGAGTTTGATTCCTGGTACCAAAAATTTAATAAATAAATAAATAAAAATTTGTGTTTAAAAGTCAGCTGTAGTGCTACCAGTTTACATTTATAAGTGATTTTTTATTTTTATTGTGGCTCTCTGGCACAGTTCTGTCATTGTGCCCAACCTCCAGGGCCGTGGCTATGATGTGCTGAGAGCAGCTCTTTCTGCTGGCGTTCTGTGAGCCTCTGCGGATTCACTGTGCCACACTTCCATTTTCTGCTGTTATCTGTGAAGACTTCTGAACCCCATGTGTGCATCCTCTGGTTTCTAACTCCACCAGCTTTAATCTTTGCATCATCTTGTAGCTGGTGGATGAGTTTTTTTGTGTCTGTTCTCATTTTTCAGGCTTTCCTGTGTAAATTATAATGTCTTCTCTTGTCCTAAACTCTTGAAATCCTACCTTCACGTTGGTCATTTCTGTGTTCGTGAATTCAGTAGTTTCTACTCAGGCATTTATTTTGCGTGCTCTGTTTCTTTGGTCCATTGGCCGCTCACACCTTGAACACTTTGCTCAGTTCCTCTGTTATCTACTCGTTCTCTGCCAGGTCCACTACCTTCTGGCCACTGTCCATGATGAACCTGCTGAGTGAATGTCTTTAACTGCGTCACACAGCATCCTCTTGGGCAGTGCTCCTCGGGTCTGTTTGAGAAACCTCAGGGTCTTTGGAGGCCTTTGGTTGCCTTTTTATTTTTTTGTATCCTTTTTGTGCTGAAGCTTGAGGCAAAGTTGAATAAGGAGAGTCCACTCTAGGCATGAGACTCTCTGGTTAGGTTCTGTTTCACGGTGACTTACTCTGGGCTTTGTCAAGAGACCTTGTTCCCCATTTCACCCTATTCACGGAGCAGTTTGGAGCTTGTCATTCAGTCCCGTGGTCCCAGTGCCACTGGGGTCTCTGCAGGTTTGGAGACACTAATGGCCTGAGCCTGGGGCCCCTTGTCCAGGGGCCTCACAGCAGACCTCATCCCCACCTGGGCAACTCGGGAACATGGAGGATGACGCTTCTTGATCTCTCGTTCTCTCCCTGCTTGGGTCTGGCCGCTATGCTGTCTCTTGTGCCTGTTTTTGTGGCTCTTGCTTCGGGAGCTTGGAGAGTGGATGAATGTGCAGCGGTGCATTCCTAGGCAGAGGTCCCCAGAGGACCTCGCCCAGTGCTCAGGCTGCTCCCCCACTCGTGATGTTGGAAAAACTGGGGTCATGTGCAAAGCGGCCCCAGGCCATCCAAAGCTGGGTGCTTCCACAGTGCCTGAATCCTGTGCTCACATCAAACTCCTCCGAGTGCCGGATTTGTCTTTTACAGCAGCCTTTCAGGTTTCCATTCCGGTTCAGATCATGAGCTGACTTAATCACCTCTGTATCATCCGTTCATTGGGGACAGCACCTTTCTTTAATGACACTGGCATTTTCTGCAGGGGTGAGTGCAGTATGTCCTGGTGTTTCCCTGTTTGTCACCTTGTGATTATGGACATGTATTCACGCAGGGATAGTACAGGAACGAGTGTGTGGGTGTGTCCTACATGGGGAAGGTGTGTCCTGTGTGCTCGGAGCCTGGGCCATAGCCTGTCCATGGTGAGCACCTCCCCTCCTCAGACTGAGTGCTCCGATACCCAGCAATGCTCCCCGATGCTTCTGCACCCACACAGCTGTGCTGGGTGGCGGGATTGTGGCCTCTGGATGCTGGGTCTGGAACGCCAGCTGCTCCTGTGCCACTGTGAGGAAGCCCTGGGGATGCCTTCAAACAGAGCCTGCCACTCTACCCCTCTGTCCTCTGCCTGGAATGTGCTCCCCTTGCCCCATCCTCCAAGCTCAGGCCCAGGGCACCAGGTCTCAGAGTTTCCCTTGCCCCTGCTGGGCAAATTAACTGGCTTTTCTCCTCTTCCATTCAAGTGAGGTGGGTAGCACCATATGGTTTCCGGGGATGGGGCAAGGCCAGGCCAAGCAGGGCGTCTGTGCTCCAGCAGAGTTCTCGAAGCTTACTGGGAACAGAATCCCTTGGAGGCTGCATTTCTGTTTCTCCTCTGGATGGCAGGGAGGCCCGGCCCGCTGCCTGGAGCCCCAGGTCACAAGCGTCTCCCATTTCAGGTGTGGCTTTGTGGGTGACCAGGAGTGGCACAGAGGACTAGGACTGCTCAGGGAGTCGAGGGACCTGCAGGTGCACTGGGATCTGTCCTCCAGTCCCAGTGGTTTCTCTTTCCCCAGACACAGGCACCGTCTCCCCAGGGCCGTCACTGAAGCCATGCTGGCTGAAACCACTGCCCAACCCGCAGCAGCCCGGTTCTGATCTGTGGCACAGCACTGGATACCCGCTCGGTCCTGTGCTTCATGAGTTCCTCTGCTCAGGAGAACAGGAGTGTCCCCCCAGGATGACGTCCACACATGGAAGGTGCACAGATGTGTTTAATCCACTCCACTGAGGTGCAGTCCCTGAATTTGAGAGATTTAAAAATGAACAAGGGCGGTGCTTGTCCTGGTCACAGCCCTGCCAAGTGCTACTTCCCACTCGGCACTGATGTGCATGGCCACACTGCTGTCCAGCCAGAGTCCTCCTTCCTCACCATTCCCTGCTGGTGATGCTACTATCCTCAGTTATTTAATCTCTTAACTGCCCAGAAGGCAACTTGAAATACATCCTGGGGATTCACCTCACACATGCAGGGTGTTTTCACTCCAGTGCTGTGACAGCACAACAGATGAATTAACTCCAAGACTGTGGGGGACAAGTCCCAGGGGAATGGGTACATAGTCATGAGATGCATGGTGGAATAGTATGCAGCCCTGAAAAGCTGCCTGAGGTGCAGTATTATGCTGAGAGAATGGGAGTGAGTGGTACAGAAAGACTATGCCTTGTGTTTGATTTTCCCAAAGAGCCAAATACTTTCAAGATTTACATAAAGATCAATCCATCTCTTTGGTGAAAAGATAAAAAGATACAATGAGAATACCAGTGTGGTTTCCATCATCTGAACTTACTTTATTGATATTCGTTAGCGAATAAAACTGTATTGTTGCTGTTTGATGCATTTGAACACACTTCCGGTACTGGCTGCACAATGCTGACTGTTTATATATTTACTATGCTAAATCCTGCAGCCTCTGGATTGCTGGGTTTACAGTGGTTTTCTGCGGCGGTGGGCGGCTCCTCTCTGACACGCAGAGTGATCCACTCAGTCCACCAGTCTTCTGTTCCCATTTTTCTCCCTGACACTTAACATACATTCAGCTCCGAAGAGGTAAGTTACCTGTGGCGGGCACACGGCCTCGGCGGGCGCTTGTAGGGCAGGGAATAAATAGTCTGGACCAGGACTGCAGCTGGCCCCTGGGGTGGGCCCTCGCCTTTCCCTTGCTGATGTGTGACCCTCGTGCGGGCAAAGGACACACCTCTGCTGGGTGGCGGGTGCAGAATGACCATTTTATGGCCTTGTGACCACCTGAGGGGGGGGGCGGCCTGAGGTGGAAGGAAATAAATAACCGCAGGGCGGGGTTGAGGTCAGGGCACACAAAATAAATAACCATCCCAGGCCTCGGCGGTGCTGGCGGGACATGAGCCACGGAGCCTTCCCCAGCACCATACTGTTCCCACAGATGATGCAGGGACAGAGGCCTGGGGAGTGCAGACACAGCTGGCCCGCATGCAGGACGGGGCGCCGGCTCAGCCAGCATACTGTGGTCAGGGCATCGCTCTCACCTTTTGCTGCCTTTGGGTCATGGCTCAGCCACCCCTCCTACTAACGCTGCCTGGGTCTGGCCTCCACTCTCGTGTGCCACCTCACTGGTGACTTGCGGGCCCACGTCCCAGAACCACAGAGACAGAGTCGCCGGTGCCCTCGCCTCCCTACACTTGGCAAGGGAAAAGGATCTGTGCGGGGACCGCGGGAGGCACAGCAGCCACAGGCCGGGACGCCTGTTCTCCCTCAGGCTGGAGTGTGGCCCCCGGCTGACCACCTCATGTCCGAGGCGTGGAGGGAAAAGGCCCAGGCCGGGAGGAACAGGCTCCCCTCAAGGCAGAGGAGGCCTCGCAGGCACGGAGCCGCCACCAGAGACAAGAAAGCTCCGATCACCCGGAAATGCTGCGGTGGAACTCATGAAGGTGGCCCAGGCTCCATCTAGCTCTTTTGGGCGGGCGAGGGGACACCTGACAGCTCGTGGTGTGACGCGAGCAGAGGGTGTAGCACTCACTGGTCTCCTATCCACAGGATAAGAGCACCATGGGAGCATCAGTGCTTCTCAGAAGGAACAGGAAGGAAGGACCCCACGTCCCCCACTACACAGGTGACGCCATGGACAGGCATAGGGCACTTCCTGTGGGCGGCAGGACAGGCTGGGCTGGGTGCACATGGGATCTCTGTGTGCTGTGTGCCAGCCCTAACGCCCAGGCAGGGGCACTGCCCGTCACCCCGAGAGGACAGGAAGGGGTAGTGCCCAGCAGGCACACTGCCTCGGCCCTCACCGCAAGCCAGTCTGCGCGGGGAGCTTAGCACCCATCAAGATCCCCGGGGCCAGCGTCCCGGGCGCTTTCATCTGCATGCTGGAGCCCACCATGGTGGGGAAACTTCGGTTCCTGCGGATGCCACCCGGCAGCTGTAGCCCGCCCACGGCGCTGGTGACAGTGGTGGCTGGGCAGCCCAGCTGCAGGCCCTCAGGGACCAGGCCCCCGGGTACTCCGGGAGGCACGCAGAGCAGGGGTCCCTGGTCCTCAGTCTGGGTGGGGCCCTGGGCCCGTCCTGCGCTCACAGCCCGGGCCACCCCAAAGCGCCGGACCTTGTCCACGAGGTTGAGGCTGCCGACAGACACATCAGTCTGGCTCTCGCTGCTGCGCACGCCCTTCTTCTCTCGCACCTCCCGCAGGATGGAGCTGGCCGGCTTAGACGCCAGGAAGGTGTCGTATGGGGGGCTGGTGCACTTGAACTCGAAGGTGGGCAGGGAGCCAGTGGGCGTCCGAGTGGGCGAGTTGGGCGGAGTGGAGGGGATCACGGCCATGCGGGGGGTGTAGGCATGCAGTAGGGCGCCTCGCGCTGCGCGGTCCCAGCTCTGGGGGTTGTACACAGCAGCCGAGATGCCGTGCTCCTTTAGCAGCCTCACCAGCCCCAGCGACGTGCTCATGGTGGTCGTGGAGTCGCGGGCATTGGTGAAGGACTCGGCCAGGCTCAGCCTCCTTGGGGTGCATGGTGTTGCCACGGGTGTGGCCTTCAGGTGTCCAACACTGCCACAAGCCGGAGTCGGGGCTGAGTTAAGGCTGGAAGGGAGAGCGGCAAGTTATTCCTTAGGGACATTCTGTGGCCACAGCAGGGCCGGTGGCTGTGTCCTGTGAGGTGATGGGGCAGATCCAGGACACACCAAGAGACGCTCAAGACCTCTACCCACAGAGTCCCTCTCAAAGCTGCATGGGACCCCCTGCCATCCCTGGACTGAGGGCATGACCAACCCCGCACCAGAACTGCCTGGGACCCAGAATCACACCTGGTGGGGAAGGGGACAGCTGCAGCCTCTGGACACGAGGCCCAGCCAGGACTGCAGGATCCGGGGCTCAGCTCTGGAGGAGCTGGGAGGCCACAGGACAGATAGGGTCACAGGGCGCAGGGGGAGACTTTTGGCAGCTACTGTGAGCAGGGGTCCGCCTGACCTCCAAGCCCACTGATGGGCTGCCAGGTGCTGGGAACAGGCCAGCCAAATGGCCCATGGGCTGGGGACAGAGCTCTCTCTCCCAGCCCAGCCGAAGAGGACCAGTGTGGGAAGGATAGAGGAGAACCTGCTTGGACCAAGTTCCAGGGTGACCAAAGGGCTCCTCTGGGTAGGGACAGCCCAATGGCAAGTGCCAGCTACATGACTTGAGGGCCTAGGGATCTTACTATGACACAGGCCCAGCTCACACAAGCACAGGAGGGGCCAGGGCACTCGGGAAACACTGGGTTAGAGCGATGCAGAGTCCAGGATTAGGGAGGCAGACATTGCAGGGGACACAGGTGGGGTTTGCAGGTGTTACACATGGTCCATAGAAGGTCAGATCTTCTAGTCTTAAGTCTGGCCTGGTGGCCATCCCTAGGAGTCTCAGTTTCACCCTAGCTGCCTTTCCTGCCTTGCAACCCACATCAGCGAGCACCTCTAGCTGGGGATGCAGTGGGCCATGGCCAGTGCCTTTAAAATGCTGGGACAGGAAGGGCCAGTTCCTGGACAGGAAGGGCTGGCAGAGACAGCGACCTAGGTTAGACCCTGGTTAGTGCCAGTGCCTGGCGGCCCAGGGATTTAAGATGGTTAGGGCGGCAGGGCCAGGCCGACTCAGCCAGCGCCATACAGAGACACCCGAAGCCGGGCCGTTAGTGGCGGCCACACGTCACACAGATCCTTGCAGGGGCCCAGCAGGCGCCCTGCACGCTCACCCCCTGCCCTGCCCATGGGCTCCGCTCTGCCCTATACCGCCTCTTGCCCAACCGGGCACAGGACGGCTCCGTCGTCCTCCTCCCACGACCTGTGGAGAAGTGTGCACAGATGAGGTGCCCAGGACACTGCCCACTGTTCCCCTTTCCTGCATCTTCCTCTGTGGACCCTGGCAGGTTGCTCAACTACACCACAGAAGGAACAGCCGTGTGGGGACACATGGGGCTCTCTGTAGGCCCCACGAGCGCCAGGTGTGGGGCTGGCCCTGAGGTTCTTGCCCTGGGTCACTGCAGCCCAGGCTCCAGGCAGCAGCCTCAGGCTCCAGGCAGCAGCCTCAGGCAGGAGAGGGACTCCCAGAACCTCTCAGGCCTCTCCCACGGGAAACGCAGGTTTGCTGTGGGACAGTCGGGGGCCTCTGGGAGGGCTATTAAGGAGGGTCCGAGGGCAGGAAGACGGGCCAGCTCTCTCCCTTTGAGCAGGGGCTGGGCCAGAAGGGGCCGTGTTTCCAAAGTGGGGCCTGGAACAGGTGACTGCAAACACTCGTGCTGTTCGTTCTCAAGTGGGCTAGAACTGCCTTTCGTTCCTTTGTTTCTGCAGTGGGTTCACTTTGTAGTTTGTGCTGGCTTTGAATTTATGCTGCCTAAGCTGTGATCATTCTGCCTCAGCTGCTGAAGTGCTGGGATTCCAGGTGTGCGCCACCAGCCTGGCTCTGGAGCTGGCCTTGCAGGAGTCTCTCTTGTGGCTATCCTCAACACAGGCCTTGCAGGAAAGGGGCGTCCCGTTCTTACCCACAGCGGCCCACGCGGCCAAGCTTGCCCTTACCTTGGTGTGACCCGTGTGAGCTCATCGGAGGGGTGCAGGATGCGACAGGTGGTGAAGGTGAAAGTGGAGTTGGTCTGGGACATGCACTTCCCGGGGTGGTTCGCTGCATCGGGGAACAAAACACAGTCCTTGCACCTGGGTACGCACAGCGCACTTGGAACCCAGGGCCCTGAGCAGATGCGAGGTGTGGAGTGGCCTGGGCCAGTCACGCAGGTGTTTAAGGGAAGGTGACCCTCTGACACAGCTGCGGCAGAGCCCAGCCTGAGGGGCAGTGTGTCCCTGCCCCCGCCCACCCTCACAGGCTCCCGTCAGGCCCAGGGCCAGCAGTGGATCCAGTTCCAGGCAGATGGGCCCTGGGGTGGGTCATGAATCTGGTTTTCCTCCTCAGAGCTCAGAATTTGCTTTCTCCTTTTGTCATTTTGCATGTTTTTCTCTTGGCAAACATGTGCCGAACCCTGCCCAAGACAGGGAAGGCCACCTGGTGCCCAGCAGCAGGGCAGGGCTCTGGGACCTGGCTCCACTGCTGTCCCAGAACTGGCACAGTGGGATGGGAAGCCTCAGCCACCTCAAGAACAGCACAGCAAGAGCTCAGAGACCAGAGACCCATACACAGACCATGAATGGCACAGGTCCCTCCCTAGGCCCCGCCCCATTTGGTGACGCCTTCAGGAGGCCTGGGCTCTAGGAACAGCAGAGGTCAGCCCCATCACTTCCTCTCAGGCTTTGCCGGGCTGTTGCTCAGGTGGCTGAGGCATCTGTAGCACAGGGAAACAGGTATGAGCGCTACAGGAAGGAAAGCAGGCAGGGAGCAGCCTTATGTCTACAGGAGACATCATGATTGCCGCATCATTCATAACTCAAGCATCAGGAGAAAGAACAAAAGGGGAAAAAACAGACGTTGCACCAAGTGCATGCCCAGCAAGGTGCAAGCAGCCTCCCACTCAACCGCCTGCCAGGCAGCTCAGCACCCAGAGACCTCCTGGGGACAGACTCGGAGCCCAGGAGCCTGCGCCTTCCAGCTCTACAGGTTGTTTTCTCTCAAGTTTGAACAAAAAGAAACAAGGAAAGCAAAACGGAACAGATGGTGCTGCAGAACCACAAATCCACGCAGATAATAAAAAAATGAAACAGCAGAAGCTGCAGACACACACTGAGCTCAGGAAGGACAACGCCAAGTGCATGATGGCGAGGTGACTCAGGCTCCCAGTGTGGGACCCACCCATGGGCCAGAGCCCTGCAGCCCCCAGCAAGCGCTCAGCATGGGGGCTCCCGGCAGGAGGAGGGAGAGAAAAGGCAGCAGCAGCCTTCTCAGTCCCTCTCTCCAGCCGTAATACAACAGCTCAGGGGCCCAGGGCCTGAGAAACAGAACCAGAAGCAGCTATGACTATGAAGAGGAGACGACCGAATAATCACGAGTCTCCCTGCAGCCACCGAGGCCAGGACCAAAGCAACCAACGGCCTCGGGGAGCTGCATGGCCGCACACAGGAGGGTGATTTGGGAAGAAAGCAGGAAACAAATCATCAGGATGAAACAGTTGAAAGGGAGAGAATGTTAAAAACAATTCAAACAAGGCTGGATCTGAAATCAGAAGTGCACCTCAATTTCAAGCCCTGGCCAGAATATCAAATCAAAAAAGGCCTGAGTGTGCCCCTCCACCCTCACCTCATTAGATTCTGATCTTTGAGTACAACAGTAGTGTAAGAGGTTTTAGAGACACAGTTGCACCCACGGAAGCAGAACCCACCTCACACAGGTGGGTTCTGGGGATGGGAAAAGGCTGCTAAAAATTCAGAAGACACTAGAACCCAGAAGCAATCAACAGCTTTAGAAGATGGAGCATCAGTCAGAGCCCACAGCCCCAGCATCAGAGGTCCAACCTGCCCGCAAAATACCATTGGGACACGGGTCCTCAGGCTCTCTGGTCACCGCAGGCTACTGGCCGCCACTGCGCCTCCCTACGTTGGGACACAACTCAGAGTAGTGAGGGCCTGGTGTGGGGCCTCTGGTGCCCTATGCTCCTCTGAGGATCTTCTTGGCCAGCAGTCAGTTGTGAGGAGCCTTTGGTCTTTACTGTGCGCTCACGTCGCCCTGCTCCTTTGGGGGGCACTATGCTCTGATCCCCCGTCGAAGCCCTCATTTCCTGGCCTGGCTGTGTGAGGGCAAGGGCAGACCACGCCGATCACAGCTGGAGGCTGAGCAGCAGCTGACGGGCAGGTAACTGGGCCAGAGACAGTGCTGACCACTGCCTTGCACTCACTTCCAACATTTCCAAACCAGTGGGCCCTTGGCTCACTGGCCATGCCTGCCCAGACACGGGGCTCCCTGCAGGTGCTCTCACACACACGTGACATGTTCTAGAGCAGGTGCAGCTCTCCGATGTGACCCACGAGGCCGTGTAGGCTGGCAGTGCTGACTGCCGGTGCTCCTCTGGGCCCACGATGCCTGGCACTGATAGGAAAACCAGGCAGGTGGCATCTGGCATCCTTCTGTTGCAGCACCGCAGGTGCCAGTACAGCCAGGTCCCCTGGAAGGGCGGCCACTCCCAAATCCAGGGGCTGTGCTGGGGCTTGGCCAGGATGCCCCAGATCCATGGCAAGCGAAGGTCGATGGGACTTGCTCCACCAGGCCTTCTGTGTGGCGTGGCTGGACCCGCAGGCTCTTGTGTCCCATTCTCTGGTGCTGCTCCTTCCTCTGCCCCCAGGGAAATGTGGACAGAGGCTCTTCTGCAGCGGGACAGCCGGTGGGAGCCCAGTCCTGAGACCTGCGAGCCAGAGGAAATGCAGTCCGGGGATGGAGAGCCCTGCCATGCCGCGCAGCCCTTTTAACTCATGGGAATGACTTCCAAAGAAGCTCAAGCATTCTCTCAAGCACATCTCAAAATCCTGGAAGACAGGATCCAAACTGCAGTGTCCGGGCGACTTCTGTTTTATCTTTGCTCTTTGCGGGAAGTGGTGGCCTTGTGTGAGGTAATGGAAACCATCTGGCCACTTTACTTCCCTTGTGTGAACTCTGTGCACACAGCAAGAATCTGCTGGTGGAGACTTTCTATCCACTCATTCACACACACACACACACACACACACACACACACACACACAAAGTACTCCCCCACCTGCATTTCCTCACTGCTGTGACACCAACAGTCACACCTGTAGCCCAGTCTACCTGTCACACACTGGTGACAAAAGCTGCTGTCAGGCCAGCTTCCCAGGGTCGCGGGGGCGAGGGCCCAGCCCTGTGAGCAACAGCATACATTTTCACAGGGCCCAGCTGGGCCTGGCTTCGGAGCTCCGGTCACCAAAGTGGAGGAGGGAAGGACAGTTCCCCGCCTGTCAGAAACAAGAGAGACAGGGCCCTTTTACAAGCCCCAAACAGGCAAAGTCCCTCCTGAGACTGGAATCAGGGCTCAGGGAAATGCCCTAAGGACCGCCTGTCACTGTCCCGTAACTGCAGGAGGTTCTGCGGTGAGCTCACGTAGAAGCCCCATATGCGCCCTGGAAACCCGCTGCCTGGGGTGTGGGGTGAGGCTCCGTGTGGCCTGGTGACGCCTTCCTTGGCCTCTTTGGTGTCCCTCAAACATACCCTGGTCTGCTCGTGGCTGTGACGGAGGCCTGGACCCCAGAGGTCAGCCATCTGGTCCGCAGCACTCCTGTGGGCTCTATCTCGGAGATTTTTAGACCACACTGCAAGACATTTTTCTGGTTTCTGCACAATTTCATGTTGGTTTCTGCAAAGTTAAGTCTATTCTTCACTCTGCACCAAGCTCTCTACTGTCTGTTTTGTCTAAGAAGTGTGTGGCTTGAGAGGTGAACAATTTCATTGTGTGTATGAGGGGCTTGCCATGGGCTGCCGTCCGGGAAGAGATGGTGAGGGTACTGCTGATGCCTCCTGGGGAAACGCAGAGTCTCTGGGCTCCTGGGGAACCAGCATGGCAGGGCTAGCCTCAGAGTTAGGCTCTGCCTCAGAGCTGTTCCAGGCAGTACCCGTTCCAGGCAGACCACAGCCCAGAGGCCCACTGCACACTCCTGAGAGGACCCACACACAGAAGGAGGCAAGCACTGGCTCCTCAAGGAACCTGCATGGCTTTCTGAGGTGAGGACACCATAGAGAAACGGCTCTCAATGGGCGGCTTGGTCCTAGAGGTCTGTAACAGGACTGCCCAACACTGATCTCTATGGAGGACAAGGTCCTCTCACTCCTTGTCAGTCTACTTCCAGGCTGCATGTACTGGACACAAGAGCACAGGGCTACCTTGACTCTGCTGACATGGGCAGGACTGCGTGCCAGTGACCATAGCCAGCTGGCTGTCCCTGACTGCCACACTGGGTGGACAGGTGCTCAACAGAACAGACGGGGCAGAGGTCTGTGAGCTCCCTGTGCAGCCTCCTGCTTCTGGACATCCAGGCCTCTGGGCCAAGCCTGCTCACAGGCCCCTGGACCCACTCCTCAGATACTGGTGGCCATGATAGTATCTGTGACAGGTGCCCTGCCTTTCCCACCCATGGCTGCTCCCCACAAAATGTGGGCCTAGGTACCAAATCAGGACACAATGCAAGCAGCGCGTTCTCCTGGTTTTGCCTCTGCTGGACCTCGGGCTGGAGGTGCAGGGGAATTTTCACATATCCTCAGTGACCAGGGTCTCAGTGGGTATCTCTGCCAGGTGATGCCCATATGCTGGTGCCAGGTGCAGGGCCCATGAGCATCTCACTACAATGACCTGCAAACCCTACGGATGCCCGTATGGCTCCAGGTCTCTGAGTCACTCGAAGGACTCACTGAAAGCAACCACCCAAGGTGCTGCCCGCAGGGCTGTGAGCTGAGGTGCCTGCTGCGTGTGAAGTCTAACGCAGCACATAGCCCACGGCCAGGGAGAGACCATGTCGGCGACATGTGCTTCCTATGTGAACCGAGACGTAGAACATGTCACTGAAATAAAGTAAAACTATGATTTAAAAAGCACTTTCAACAACCCATTTTAATTGTCTAAATTATTTACAATACAGTACTGTGGAGTCATCTTTTTTAAAACATGGGAATTTTAAAAAATCATTAAATGATGCTTCAAGTAATACATAAAATATACTGATATTTTTTTTCAGTGCTCAAAACGTTTTCTTCAACATGACAGTAGGCTCTAGACAAAAGCGTCTGCTCTTCACCATTTCCTCCCAGTTTTAAAAAAGAAAAGGTGTATCACCTTCTGACACTGAAGTTTCTCCCTCGGACATCTTCCCCAGCAGCTCTTAGACTTGGACACGGCCCAGCGCAGGGAGCTAACCATTGGCCCGCAACCCTGGGGACCCAGGGGTCTCACCCAGAGAGGGACACAGCCTGTGCCAAGCATCCATATAGCTCTGCCCCACCAAAACCCAAGTGTGCCTTCCCCCGAGTGCAGCTCCTAGAGACACGACCCTCACAGAACACAAGCTGCCTGGAGGCCTTTCCTCCACCACCTTGGAAACCAGTGCCACCCTGTTCTCAGCGCAAACCAGCACACCTGGTCCTCTGCGGCTCGTCCCAACCCAGATGGCAGCCGGGACGCTGCTGCCGCAGGTTTCCATGAGAAAGGGCCATGCAGAGCGGCAGCTGGGTCTCACCGCCACGGTCTTGCCCTCCACCCCCATGAGGGGTTCTCTGGCTGCCAGCAGCTTCACTCCTCGCACAGCTCCCTGAGTGCATCTAATGAGCCCTGACTTTGGGGATTCTGGGAAGGCTGCACCCAACACCACCGTGCCCTCAGCTCTGTCCTGCCTCTCCGTACTGGCTGCCATGCCTTCACAGAGGAGAACCAGGAAGCCCAGACAGGAAGTCTCGATAGAAGGATGTCACAAGGGTGATGCTAGCCCTCTTTTGTAGGTCTGTCCCCTTGTTTCTCTGGGACCCCAGGACCTAGCCCCCAGAGGAGTGACTATAAGCTGCTGTCCACACCTTGATGCCGGGGCAGGGTGTCACAGCTCTCAGATGCATCTGGTCCTCCTGGAAGAGCTTAGTAATGATCCCATGGGGTTTACCTGGTTAATCACTTTTTAAAAATCCACCCTGAACACACACGTAAGTTAGAGAAACCACAAATGTGACTCTGCTGGAGGAAGGAAGTCCAGTGTTGTCTGAAAGCCCGAGCCCTGTGGGCTTATTTCAGTGTGATAGCAGCATCCAGGAGGCAGCTTTGCCTGTTCCCCCTCAGACCAACCCAGCACCAATCCATCACCTCCTTAATGGGCCTACTGGGCTCCAACCAGCACTCACCAGGGCCCCTCAGACACCAGGCGACACCCAAACAGGAAGGGGGCACTGACATTTGGAGGCCCCACCCACTCCTTTTTAGCAGCCTCTCCTGTTCCCCTTGAGACCCCTGCTGAGCCAGGCCCAGTCGGGCATGGCTATGCCCATGTACCGTGCTGGGGCCTCAGACTCCATGGTGCACACAGCACTGCACTGCGCAACGGGGATGCGTTCATTGTCACCCACACAGACGCACAGAAGCCACACACAGGGAGCCACTACGAATGGTGCCGGGGACAGAGGTGAGAACAGCCCAGAACTGTGTGGCTGGGGTCGGGTGTGTGGGACAGATCGCGACGGCCTCACCAGACCCCTCCTCCTCCTCCATGGCCGCAGGTGGCTTCTGCATCTCCTCAGGGGAGCTCCTGCTGCTTGGGACAGTCGAGTGTGCCTGGGACCTCTCACCTGAGGTCTCTGGGTGCTGCACTGGTGTGGAGGTAGCTAGGCCCGGGAGGGGAATGTGGTCACCTGTGTCATCTTCCTCTAAGTCGTTAAGGCAGTACACTTCGTCCAGGTCAACATCCAGTGTCCGGAAGCCTTTGGTGACCACACCAGGCCGGGGGTCGAGGATGCCCCCAAGGTGAGGCTGGGCCAGCTGCTGCCAGTGGTGGAGGGTGGCAGAACCTGCAGGAGGAAGGGCACAGGGGAGGAGCAGGTTAGCACGGAGGCTGACACGAGCTGTCACCTCCCCAGTGGGCTCTGCCCTCTTCCTGGCCATGCCCTGAGGAGCCCGACTCAAGGAACCAACGGCGCCATTTGTAAGTAAAACAAATGCCACACTGCGTGCCAGGTGTGTGGTTACAAAGCATTTTAAGCAACCCCAGAATTCAATGCATCGTCATTGTACAGACAGCAAAGGGGGACACAGCCAAACAAGCATGGGGTGTGCACGGGCACAGCAGGTGCCAGAGCACAGACGGACAAGGGGAGGAGGCGATGCTGCCCCACCCAGGACTGCGCCAGGGATAGCAGAGGCCAGGAGGTGGCGGGTGTGACCCTTACCGCCTCCCCTTCGGTCTCCGTACCTGCCAGCAGCCTGGCGCTGCCTGTTGGTTGTAATCTAAGAACACGCAGAGTGGCCTAGAGCAAGGTGACAATCCCCCGTGATACCAGCCTGGGACTCAGGTAACACGGTGTGTGGTCTGTAACAACACCAGAGTGTGTCCCCCGAGGACACCAACGTATCCTGGGAGCTGTTCCAGCACCACGCGCACCTGGGAATCGGGTTCAGGGCACATCTGCCTCTAGGACACAGAGGTGTCCCCAGCTTTCGCCTAGGCTCAGGACATTCAGCTGCATCTTCTGACACCTGTGTGCCCAGGGGCTGGGAGTCACCAACACAAACCACACCTGCCTGCCCAAGATCAGAGGAGCTCTCTGCCAGCAAAGGAGGCAGCACAGGGGGCCTCCAGCACACCTGGGCCCAGCAGCCACCCAAGGCTGTTTGCACGGCTGACCCAGGCATGAGCATGCAGGAAGTAAGGATGGAAGCTTGCTGGCCCCCAATGCCACCTCGAGGTCACTCTCCATGGACCACCTCAGCTGGGGTCTGGGGGATCTCCAGGGGCTGTTACAAATCCACTTGAAAAATCTGAGGATCCATGCTCAGAGTTTGTTGATGCCCCTTCCAGGGCTGCCCCGGACTTCAGGACATAGAAATACACCCACGCTGCCTCACCCTATCCATTGAGCATAAACAAATGCCCTCAATGCAACAAGGAACTAGCATGAACAGGGCAATGTCTCGGAAGTGAATTTGCACCAGGGAAGACAGTTGGCCCAGTGGTTGTCAGGGGGAACGGGGGACAACTGTCAAAGCTGTTGCAGCTATGGGAAGGAAGGACACTAGTGCTGCCAGGTGAGCAGAGGCCAGGGGTGGCACTTAATACTCTGCAAGGCCCAGGATAGCTGTGCCACAGAGTTACAGGCCAATGTTCCCGGGGCCCCGGCTGGGAAACTACCCCACAGCTGGGGCCTTTGCCTCTGGGATTCTGAGGATCTGGAGGAGACTCTGCCCCAGGGCACTCGGGCACAATGCCACCAGAGCTCTGCAGCTGCTCCCCCGCCCCCCAGTGCCACTGTGCCACCACTGGTGTCAGGAGCCTATGTGGAGCCTGTAAGGTGCTGCACATTTGACCCGCAGCACATCAACTCCCTCCTCGAGACATCCTTGGTGAGCACCATCACCTCACTCCACAGCAGGACCCTGGGGCTGGGCAACTCCCCAAAGCCATTAATCAGTGGGCATGGAACCCAGCTTCAGGGCAGGCTGGCTCTTGTAGGAATCCGACACTGTGCTCTTCCCAGTGCACAGGCAAGATCAGGGCAGGACATCCATGTCCTGGCTAGGGACATGCTAAGCACTGGCTGGCATCCTGCTGCACAAAGGTCATCAAAGCTCCCAAGCAAGTGTCTGGGCTAGCAGGAAACCCACTGGGAGTTCTGGCCATCCCCAAAGCCCTGGGTGCTCACTGGCTTCATGGGCACAATTTGGGCATCAGAGCAGCAGCAAGGAGGCGGCTCCAGGAGCCATGGCCATGCCTGGCTGGCACCATGCCCTGAGGATCTAGAGGCCAGTACATCCACATCACTCTACTCTGCAGGGTGGGGCGAGCTGGGGCCTGGGCAGGTGAGGAATGTGAGCCTTGGGGATCAGGACTGTACCCCAGACAGCTGCCTCACCCATGTGGTGGGGAGTAAGTGGAGAGCAGGGTGTGGTGGCCACATCTATAATCCCAGCACTCTGGAAGACTGAGGCAGGGGGATCAAATTTCAACCCACACTGGGCAATTTAGGGGTTTAATGACCTGTTCCATTTTCAAACTGGACCAGTTCACCCCTCCTTAGGCAACTTGGTGTTCCCCACTTCTGGGAGGTCACCAGATTGATGTTGAACTTAGTGGGGACATCCGATCGGCATACTGCACTGCAGCCCACACTCCTGGACTCAAGTGATCCTCCCACCTCGGCCTCTCTCACATCTGGGACTACCATGCCCAGCTAGTGTCTTAATGAGACTCTTTCTCAAGCTAAAAAAAGACTGGGATGCAGCGCAGAGTGAAGACCCTGGGTTCAATCCCCAGTGCAGCCAAAGAGAAAAAAGATTTGGTGAAGCCACCACAAACCCCGCCTTGTGATTTGACTATGTCAGGCTCAGGGGCTCACAGGTTCCACCCCAGCTGTGCCCCAGAGCACCTCCTCCCACCTGCCTGCCACCTCCTGTCCCGTCTTCCCAGCTCCTCTCTGGCCTCCTGGACCTTTTCGACACCTCAAAGGACAAGCCTGTGCTGTCAGCTGCCACCCATCACCCTCAGCCTGAGCCCTGCCCACACCTCCCTGCACAGAAGCCAGCTGGTACAGCATAGGGCGAGAAGCACACGACCTCTGTCCTCCTGGCTGCCGGAGATACAGTTCTGCAGAACAAGGGTGTGGAGGGCAGGGACAGGCAGAGTCTCGGCCACTGTCTCTCTCCTTCCCCACACCCAACTGTTACAGCTGACGAAGGAGGAGAAAACTCAGTCCACTCTGCCAGAGGAGGACAGGGCTCCTGAGTCTGGAGGAAGCCTACAGGGCAATACCACGTAGCCACAGACCCTTTCTCCAGCTATAGGTGAACTTGTTCATCTGGAAATCCTACCTTGGCTGTAATTAGAAAGGAAGAGTGAAACACAGGAAAACAATAGCCATGGCTCAGTCCTCTGCCTCGGGTCTCTACGAGTCTCTACAGTGTGAACATGCCTGCCCTAGCCCTGGAAGGTACTCGGGGAGAGCAGCACACTCGCAACCACCAACACCATAAGCAGACAGCAAGGTGATTAAATGGGAAGGGAGATGCAGGCCACCAACCACCATGCACTGTGCTCCCAGCAACCTTCTCCAGGGCCTCACCCAAGTGCTTCTACCTGGTTGCTGGAGATCAAAGGAGTTGCACAGGCATCTCCCAGGCCAGGGGCAAAGGACGATGTAAGAACATGGCTCAGCACATGGGCGGTCCACTGCCCAGCACTGGGAAAGACAAAGTTTGAAGTAGCTGAGTTTCAAAAGGCACCTGCCAGGCACTGGGTGCGGACAGAGCCCATCACATTTCATCCTCACCACAACCTGTCACAGATCAGGGAACAGCCTCAAGGGAGTAACTCACACCACCCCCTAGTCACCCAGAAACAAAACAACCACGCAGGGAGTAGGGGGCAGAAAATACTGGCTGGGTTTAAAACAGCTAGGAAGCCAGAGAATGACGCAATGAGGGGAGAAGGACCTGTATCTTGAGGATGTGTTGGGAGCCATGGTGGTAAGATTCTAATGCAGTGATTCAGCCTCCTCTGGGGCAGGGCACCAGAAATCAAATCCATCCTAAAGTAGGATGGGAGCCCCTCTGTTTCTACTAGGTCATCACAGAAACACTGCCACCTCATACATAAAAGGTGCATTGATGTTCAACATAAAGTTTAAGACTTCATCCTGCCATGGGCTTGGAAAGTGAGTCCAAAGCTGTAGGCATAGATGATGTCATGAAACAGTAAAATACAGAAAGCAGACAAGATAGAGATGATAAAGTTCAATGACCACAGAGACAAGGGAAGAAAAATAAAAGAAAGGCAGAAAGTAATCAGAAATGGGAGATTTTATTGAAATAATAACAGACACAATCACAGATCGAAAACAATTGCCAAGCTTACAACTAAGTGAACCATTAGAAAAAGAGTGAGCCAGCCTTCTCTGAAACCTACAAAGGGTCTAAATCTATAAAGAGTCATGAAGACAGAAAAGCAGCCCCTCCTCTTCCTTCCTCTGGAGACTGTGGGGTCTCCAGCAAGCTCACCCCACCTAGCGGTGCCTTCTCGAAACATCCTGGGTGAAAAGCCCTGCGCTCCTCTCCCGGGCACATAGTGCTGTGTGTGTAACGCACGCTGAACTCACAGGGCATAAAGGACACACCTGTGTGTTAAACTTCAGGGTGGGCGAGTGGCAGGGCCAACGGGGCTCTGCACTCCCCGGAGGGGCAAGAAGGTGAAGGCTGAGGTGCACTCACAGGGAGGCTGATCTGGGTTTGAGTCAGCAGCGACCCACAGCACCCTAAACTCCCAGGAGCTTCCAAACAGAAGGAGTAAAAGGAAAACTACAAACACCCGGTGGCCCTTGGCAGGTGCAGATGAAACACTTTATAATACCCAAGGCAAAAAAAGAAAGCAACAAGGAAAAAACGTGTTTTCCAGGAGTCAGGTCATCCAAGGAGGTCAATCCTACAAGGGGAGTGCCCTGGTGGGGAGGCAGGGGCGCAGGCTCCCCGCTCCCAGCTCCTTCCCAACCCCAACATGCAGCACTGCCATGAGCCTGGCTCAGAGCATCCCTCTCTCTGGAAGATCAAACCAGAACACGACACCTGTGAATCCCTCTCAGGGTGTTCCTGCAGAGCCCCGACTCCAGGGTCTGCTTGGCACAACCTCCCAACCCTGAGGTCTCTGGGGAGTCAGAGCATGAATCCCAGCGCCCCTCTGGCCCTCCAGAGACTGATGGATCAGATTATGTGGACTCTCCCAGCCACACCTCTGCCTCTCCAGGGTGTGTTCTAAGGCACCATGGGAAGGGGAGGGAACGGACAACTGGGATGTCCCCCACCCAGGGGAGAAGGGGTTGGTGCTGCCTAACGGAACTCAAACCAGCAGCGTGGGTGGCTGTCACGGAAAAAGAAGGAGTAGGCATGACTCAGGTGGCCCGCTTGCTGCAGGTGGATCAGGGACCATAGTGAGTCCCCGAGCAGGGAAGAGAGTGGCCGAGGGCCCTTGCGGTCACCTTCCAGCGGCTTCACGATCTGCAGCTTCTCTGGCAGGTAGGAGCGGCTGCTGAAGGACATGCCCGAGAAGCCAGTGAGCTCCGAGAAGCGTGAGCGGGTGCCCAGAGACAGAATGCTCTCGGTGGGCGTGAGGGAGCCGCTCCGCAGCTCGCCCTTCTCGGCCAGCTCCTGCAGCTTCCGCTCCTGCTCCTCCTCGAAGAACCTCCTCTCCGACAGGTAGTTCTCCCGACGCAGCGACAGCCGCCTCAGCGCTGTCTCCAGGTCGTGGGTACCCGGAGTGCCTGGTGTGCCTGGCTTCTTCGTGTGCTCGTTGGGCCTGGAGAAGAAATGGGGGTGAGTGCCACGCACAGGGCACAAGGTGCCAGACCAGCACTGTGGGAGCAGGGTGATCACAAGTTCCAGCCCAGTCTGGGTAACTAAGCACAAACTTACTGCAAAACAAAACCTAAATGGGCTGGAAATGTAGTTCAGCAGGAAGGCCCTGGGACCAACCCTCAGTTCAAAAAAGAAAAGGAAAAAAGAATGGAAATAGTAAATGCCTGCCCCAAAGAACTTGGCCCATGGGTCTGAGTTGCTTTTCTTAGATGGGCAGTGGACTGAAATGAACTCTGAACACTGAGCAAGACCCAGCCCGAGCCTGGGTCACCTCATGCCTCACAGATGAAGCTTTTTTGAAGCTGCAGGCTCAAGCTTCCTCTTGAGTTAAGGGCACTGAGATCTAAACTCCAACCAAACCCAGCTCTGATCACAGAGATTCCCGGCCATCTGACCCAGCAGTAAGGCAGACCTGGTTTCACAGTCAGAGGAGGCTGCACTAGAGACAGCCATGGGCCGGTTCTGCAAGACACCTGGCTCTCCATGCCTGCTCTGAAGCAAACCATGCGGTGCCAGGGTTCTCCTGGCCTTTCCTGCCCTTGGGCCACAGTGCATGCACAAGGCCAGGGTCTGCTCTGCAGCCAGACAGTAGGGATCACAGAGAGGCCTGGGCACTGAGGACAAGCATGAGCTCAGCAGGCTGGACATGGACCAGCACAAGCCACATCCCTCAGGGGGCCTGGTCACTGCATCTGTGTCCAATCCATGCTCCTCTACCGGGACAGCAAGGTGAAAATGTGTGGCTCACTCACACCTCCAGGTCGGCTGCCTCGCTTTCCAGGATGATGGTGTTGGTCTTGTTGTCCAGGACAATGTTGCCCACATCGCTGCCGTAGAAGCTGGACCGGGGGGTGCTGACGCAGCTGGACAGCAGGGAGTTCATGGCTGAGGACTGGTTGGAGCCCGGGATGTTCATGGGCGAGGGGGTCAATGACCTCTGCTTGACCACCTGGTTGATGTTCCGCACGGTCTCGAAGACACGCTTCTGGTGCCTGAATGGAAGCAGAGGAGGAAGGACCTGGGGTCAGGCCCTCTAGACAGGGTCAGCTGAGGGGTGAACATCAGGCAACGGGCGAGGGTGCCTCCTTCACTCAGCACCCAGGGGTCGAAGATGCCACTGCGTGCTGCACACTAGGGTGACGCTTGCGAGACCCAAACCTGACCTGCAAAAGCAATGCTTATTACTTCTGTCTCCCCACAAGTTCTCCCTTTCACGATAAGTACTCCAGGGAACACCAGCTCCAGGGCAGTGCTCCCTGCTGGACACACAGTGGCCTCAATATGTATTGTAGACTAAGTATTTGCTGACCATTCATATAGAAACAGCCAGACTTAAAGCCAGGCTTCAGCTTTCATGCTGAGAGCCAGGCACCAGCTCTGGTTCATTTGAGAAGCTGCTACTTCTAAGAACATAGTCACACACGATGTCACCTGGTTCCCATCTCAGGAGGTAGGCTTCCTGCGGCCACATGGACTAACACCCTCTGAACACAGCACAGCCAGGGCCCATTCACACCCTGCCTGTGGAGCTAGGCTCCTTCTGGACAGTGGGTGGGCCTGAAGCCTGGCCAGGCCTCTGCAGAGCCCTCTGTGCCCTCCTTTCCTTTCCTACCAGACATTGAACACTATAACACAGCACTTCCCACGGAAGGCATGGAGGATGGTACACAGTTGTGCCAAGACTGCTGATGGAGGAGAGGCAGGAAGCACACCTCTTCCCTGCCAACCTCCTAGAGCTCAACAAGTACCCCCATCCCAGATTAGAGCCAGCTGTGTCCCCCACATCCCTCAAACTGGACTGCCAGACACAGGCATCACTTCAGGGTCTGAGGCCCACTTGTGACTAGGTTTTGAGCATCCTGGCTCGATGGTTGGCCTGGGAAGCTGACAGCAACCAAACCGCGTGACGTACGCGATGTCTGGAGATTCAGGCTCTTCTAGCTGCAGCTCCTTGCGCATGGTCCCCTCGATCTCTGCCGCCAGGGAGTCCTAGGAAAAGCCAGAAACACACCTGTATGAGTGGCTCATGAGGCTCTGTCCCTAAGAGGGACTGAGCAGCAGGCTTCCCCAGCATGACACTGGATCAGGAACACCCTCCTCAGCTGGAGACCCAGGCCGGTGGAAGCCAGGGCAGCTTCCAGATACAGAGCCACTGAGCCTAACCATAGCTGTCAACTGGAGCAAACCTCATGCTTCCCTGGCCACCCTAGCTCTGCCCTATGGCCCCAAACAGGGATGGTGACTTTGAGGGGGAAGGGAACGAGTGCTGAAGGATGGGATGATGTTTCCAGATACGCCGAGCTTACAGAGCATCAGGTGTGACATCAAAGCCCACGAGTCACATGGAGCTGCGGCACTCGGGGGACCCTAACACACAGGTTACACCCGGTGTGTGACCTGAGTCTGGGCGCTGTCACCTCCGGCCCTGCTTTAGTCCTCCCCTGGGCTCTCCCACCAGCCAGCCTGATCCATGTGCTCGGGAAAGGTGGTTTTCTCCTGAGCACACACCAAACCCCTAAGTCCTTGCTAGTTTTCTTAGCCTTTGTTTCCTCTTCAGCAGGGCTGTGAGCTTAGTGGGCCGCGAAGGCAGGGAAGACCCTGAGCTGAGGCCCACAGCACAGGCTGCCTGATGGGTGCCCCAGCACTGCCTGTCCTCTTCCTGCATGAGGACCAGGCAAGTGCAGAAAGAGGCAGGACATCCTCAGGCAGCACCAAGGGCACCAAGGGAAGGGGCAGAACCTCGACAATGATGCACTGGCCTGGCTCCTACAGGCCACCAAGCACATGGGACATGGCCAATTGTGACTGAGGAGTGGATGCTCACAGTACTCGATTTGCACTGATATAAACTGAGGCAGCCCCTGTGGCCAGTGCTTTGTGGGGCGTGGGGTAGGGACCTCCCGGGCATCATCTCAGGGCAGCACTGTCTGAAGCCAGGACCAGGCACGGAGGCTCAAAGGAGCTGACGGGGGCTGAGCAGGAAAGGGCCATGGGCCCTCTCAGCTTTTGCAAATCCTGCTGTACATGACTGTTTGGCAGAGACTGCAGAGACGCAGGCCTATGGCGGGGGGACCTGGGTCTGGTCAGCCTGGCCTGTTTCCCTAATGCGACCTAGACTCCATCTGATGTTCCTGGATTAAGTAACCTGCCCCAGGCAACAGAAAGGGATGCTGCTCCACACAGTCTTATTCTGCAGTGGGATTGGCAGACAGAGCTGGGCACTGACACTACACACACAGATGAGGTGCCAGTCATATCCTGGACACACAATGCACTTTATAAACCAGTGTGCAAAACCCACACACGCCAACCGCCACAGGGAAGGGCAAGCAAAAGCTTGCCCGCATAGACATGACAGCAGAGGTCCCTCCAGGAAAGACCAGAACATGTGCTTTCGGGTCCACTCTCCTCAAGCACTGGTTGGGTTTTTGAGGACAGGTCTGTCCTGAAGAGCAGACAAGACAGTGAGTGACCCTAGGGGTCCCCGAGCTCACTGTGCCAGGATGAAAGCCAGGATGCTGTGACACAGCAGGGCACCAGCACGAGTGCCCTGAGCTGTGTGTGGCCAGCACTCCAGGACAGGGCCTCCCGAAGGCCCTCAGGAGGCCAGCAGTGTTGTACTTTTTGGGTTTCCCTCAGGCAAGGTTTTAAGAAAGAGGGAGAAACTGACATAGGGAGCGAATGAGGGCGGCATGAGTGTGGGGCTGGGATACAGGTCAGCTGCACAAGTGCCTACCTAGCAGTGCAAGGTCCCAAGTTCCATTACTGGAAGAAGATGAAGATGAAGATGAAGATGAAGATGAAGATGAAGATGAAGGGGAGGAGACTGACAGGAGACGACTGAGAGGGACTGTTTCTCCCCTCAGAGCACCAAACACGCAGGGGACTGTGGGAGAAGAAACAGCCCAAGTCAACAGCTCCCCGGCTCTGCTTCAGAATCGCAGTGTGAGAGAACAGGCGGGTGGAAGCGGTGTGGCAGCACTGCCTTGAGGCTGGGCGGCCCCTTGCAGGGAAAGCGGAAGGACAGGGCTGGACACGGCCCACTTCACTCTTCTAAACTCCCTGCCGTGTAGTTACTTGTGTGCTTTATCCTCATTTTAACCTTTTACTCTTCATACAGCCCATGCAGTTTAATCCTTTACTTTCATGTTTACTCCTGGCCAGGTCCCCCACATGGAAGTGCTAGACTGAGTTTGATGTGTGAAAGCAGGAAGAGAGAGACAGAGACAGAGACAGAGACAGAGAATCACTGAAGAAGAAAGAATCACAGGACAAAGAGTGGGCATGGGCGAGGGAAGCTAAAGCAGAGTCCAGGGAAAGACCAAAAGCAAAAGGACAAGGAGTTACACAGCCACCACTCCTATCTCATCTAGGGGTGTGTTTTCCCAAAGTTCTTGTCTCAGAGAGAACCTGATGTATTACTAACTCATGGAATCAAAGCCTGGATATTACAAAGTTCTTGGTAAGCTGTTCTTCAATCCATCCACCACCCATCTATCCATTCGATGTACCCATCACGTAGCTGTCATCCATCCATCTGTCCATTATCCATCCATCTATCTGCCCATTATCTATCCATCCATCCATTTTTCCACCATATACCCATTGTCCACTATCCATCCATTTACACATCTGTCCATGATCCATCCATCATCGACCCATATGTCTGTCATCAATCATCCATCTTTCCATTTCACCCATCTGTCCATCATCCATCCAACCATCAAAATGTGTTATCTATTAAGTACCTACAATTTTTCAACATACGGGGTGCTGTGCTTGGTACAAGGTATTAAGAGGGAAAGAGGAAATTACAAGACCTGGTCTCCACCTTCAAGGGGCATTAATCTAACACAAGGGAAATTGAACAAGCTCATTTCCCTGTACCCAAATGTCACAGGGAAATGACAGGCCCAAAGACTCAGCCCAAAGACATTAACCTCTCGGGAAATCCCTTCTATCACATTCCCCAAACAGACCAGGCCAGGAGTAATGAAATAAGATCACAAGGAAGTAGCCTGACAGAAGTTGCTTTCCATCACCCATAGGGAAGTTGCCAAGGCAACAGTGACTAAGTGTACAAAGACCCAGCAGACCTCTGAGGGCCGAGGGAGAATCGCAGAATGACCCGAGAGGACTCTGATGAGGTCAGAGAAGAACACGAGAGATCCAGGTTCATCTCCAGGGCAGGAGTAGGACAAGGACAGGCTTGGGTGGGAAGTGAGGATCCAGTGTGTCCTGTGCCAAGCCAGCAGGGGCGCACGGCCTCGACACAGACACCCCCCACCCCAGGCACATGGCCATGGAGAGGCTGCCTCTGACTAAAGGTACGATGCCCGCCAGCAGGGCGCAGGTGGGAGGTGCAGGGAGGGCGCCACTCACCATGGGAAAGAGGCCCAGTGAGTGGTAGCGCCGGGCCGTGGTGCTGGGCACGGTCCTGTTCCGCAGGTTCTTCAGCTCCTCCTGGGCCTCATGCAGCATCTCCATGCACTCCGCGTACTTGTCCTCCAGCTCACGCAGCTGTGGGCCGGAAGACACAGGTTCAGGACCTAGGAGGCATCCCCACCCCACCCCAGAGGCCCAGCAAAGCAACTGCGTCCTCAGCGCCAAGGGGACCCACTGCCCCTGGACCTAGGGCCAAAGTGCAGAGTCCTCAAGGACTAGAGCGAGCCACGGGCTTGGGAACCTCCTTGACACCAGTGACAGCTGCCGCCACAGAACAGCCCATCAGCACCTGGCCTTGCGCTGCAGCTCTGAGCCATGCAGGATATTTATCAGAGCTGCAAAAGCCAGGCCCGGGGCCAGGCACAGCCTGGACTCCCACAACCAGCATCAGCACAGAGGGAACAGAACCAAGGTGAGAGCACCATGAGGCAATCGCTTGATGGGCAGGACTCAAGCCTGTTGGAGGCAGCTGACTGGCAGAAAGGAGATGCTCACCTCAGCTGTGAGCTGCCGCTGGGCGTCCTTCGCAGCCCCCAGGTGCTGGACAAGCTCCTCGTTCTCCACTGCGCACTGTGAGGACAAAGCTAAGTCACTTTTTCTATGCAGACTCAGGAGAGCCCAGCCACCACTGCCTTATCACTGAGGTGGAGTGGCTCCTGCCTAACGAGCGTACAGGCTTTCCCATGGCCATAACTGCTCTCCACGGCCCACTGGCCAGAGCAGAGCAGAGGCTGCTCTCCTCTGAAGTGCTGCTGTCCTCTGAAGTGCTTCTCTCCTCCACTCTGCTGTGACTTCACTGTCCAGGTGCACTCCTCACTAGCGCTCAGCACAGGCCTCACCGGGGAGGCTATGCTGGCTTCTGCTGCTCCTTTTTAACTCTTGGGGGACATGGAGCTATGCAGAATCCTCTGTCATAGGGCACCGTCCAAGGCAAGAGGCCTAAGCTCCCCACAGATAGCCGCCTTGCTCAGGGCGTCTGGGATTGCAGGTCATTCTTAGGCAGTCAGAGATCATCATGAGACCCCAGCCACTCAGGGAAAGCGGGAGGTTTTACCGGATCTATGCACTTCCTGGGCCAACACGTGCTCCTGACAGGAAGCGGCCCTCCTCTGTAATGGCCCCTTCCCATCTCAGCCACTTATGTTGAGAGGAGCCCGGGCTTACAGCTTTTGCCTTCTTCTGCAGGTCCACAATCTGTGAGAGCAGGTGTGTGATCTCCTCCTGCTGGCGAGCGGCATCCTCTGTCTTCTTGGCCAGCTCCTCCGAGATGCTAGCAATCTGCACGTTGGCATCCCCTGAACACAGAAACAACAGCAGCAAGGGTGGGTCAGGTCACCACGCATGCAGCCCAGATGAACAGCTTCATGGTGGCTTGTGCAGGGAAACCCTGCTCTGTGTGGGAGTAAGAAGGTGCACGAAGTGGGGTTCTCTCCCCAGACAGAGCGGAAGGTCTCCCTCGAGCAGCCCAGCCTTCTCGGGGCTTTCCCTCCCAGCTTGACAGAGGGTGAGCAGGGGGACACTCAGTGCAGCCTGGTGTAGCCACACCCCAGGGGCGTTTGTTGTGGCCCTGCCCAGGGGCAGTGTTGCTGGCAGGAGCCATGCTGCACTCCATTGGTGGGGGCTCCCCACCTGACGCCCTAGGACTAAGCTCCAGTGTCTCATTTTCCCATTTTCTGCCGACCCTTTGTCTACTTCTCTTGAAAGCTCATGCGGAGATGCTGGGAACACACTTCTGTGCAGGCTAGGATCCCTGTCCTCACTGGTCATACCGAGTCACCAGCATGCAGCATCTGCCCCCTCCACCTGTCTCTGAGTAGGCCCAACACAGCCACCAAGCTGGCCTTGCAAGGAAATAGCATCCAGCAAGGAGCTGAGATAGCACGGCCCACACTCAACACCCAATTCACACGCAAGGTCAGGAGAGGCCCTGCCTGAAGAAGGCAGTGGGTGTGGGTGGCAGGGAGACCCTGGTATGGCCATGGGTAGCTCATGGGCAAGGAGTGGGCACGTACTGAGCTCCTTCACGCAGTCGTTGACCAGCTGCTGCTCCTTCTCCTCGTAGGTGATGGTCTCTGTCTTCAGCTGGCAGGCCTGTGGAGGGGCTCAGCTCAGCGCCTGCACTTGCCCAGACTGTGGGCAGCCAGGCTGGGCGTGAGGCGCTGTGGGCAGCCTGGGCCAGGATGCTGCCCACACACCCTGTTACCTATGTGTCCCATACAGTGACCTCTGAGCTCCCTGGGGTGAAGGATGCATGTTCTCATGCTGCAAACCTTCTCAGAAATGGGGCTTTGTCCCCAAATTAAGTGAGCAGCTAGAAGAGTTGCAGGCTATAGGAACAGGGCACACAGGGCACCTCACTAGGCTCAGATCAGCTCTCTCTACCTGTGACATGTTCAGGGGCAAGCTGTTCTACCCACTGACGGGGCCAGAGTGGATGGTACCTTGAGCAGGTGCCCATGTGTAGCTCGAGGCCAGGCAACTGCTCTACCTGTTAGCACCACGTTCACGGCGTGTGTGTGAGAAGGGGGAGTCTGAGTGTGGCTTTGTCACCGACTCACTGGCTGGACCTGCTCATCAAACACCTGGCAGCCCACGGCCGGCTCTCCTGGCTGTCATAATGACAGTAACTGGCTTTTAGACTTGTGATGAGTGCCTGACACTGCGCTCACCCACAGAGGAAACACTTGTGCCTAAACACACAAGTCTCAGGGCACCTTGGCCCAGCCACAGTGAGGCACCAGAGAAAAATGCCCAGGCTCCTTGTCCTATCCACAGTAACCTGAAAACCAGCTTCACCCTGGCGTCCGTCACTGCTCAGGAGCTGGACACCCGGGGCAGGACCACCTGTGACGGGGTGGGGTACACCACCCCTTGGGCTGCACGGTCACTGCCATGTGCCTATAGCTGTTCTTGCAGGGCAGGCAGCACCTCACCTCGGACCGCAGGACCACGTTTTCCTCCTCAAGGTCCTTTAGCTTTTTCTGAAGGGAATCCAGATGGAAGTAATTTTGCACAGAGGAGGATGACTCGTTCCTCTTCAGCCTGGGGAGAACAAAATGTTTGCCACAGCTGGGGACCCAGTGGAGATAGCTCGCAGGCTTTCAACCAGCACAGCCTTCCTGCCCAGGAAAGCCTCTGACCCCTGGGCCCCTCCTGGCCTCTGCTCACAGTCTGTGGGTGGCATATCCCCTCACGACTCTGGGGAACTGACTCCACTGAACACCAACAGTTCTGGGGTGCCTGAGAATTCATGCTCTCAGAGGAGCCCCCACACCTTCAGTCTCAAGGGCCCACATGGAACCTCCTGGGTTTCCTCCAACACCCCAGCCCCTTTGGGTGCCCAGTGCCCAGCCCGGGCACAGCAGCTGGCCTGACAGGCAAGCAGTAAGGGCAAAATGGAAACCTGCCCTCACATCCTGTAGCCACACTGGAGGTGGGGACACTGCCTGGCTGAGGACAGGGACGCAGACCGGTGCAGACACACAACCAGGACTCACGGGGTAGAGCAGACGGACTCGGGCTCGCTCTCCTCCGCCGCGCTCGTGTAGAACTGCAGCAGCTCGTCCTTCATGGACAGCTCATGGCGGAGCTGGGAGACCTGCATGGACAGCAGTGCTCAGCCTGCAGGATGCCCCGTGGCCCGGGAGAGCACCACGCTGCTGGTGTGATGAGGCCTTAATAGGATTCACACTACTCAGAGTAGGTTTTAGAGTTAAGCTCCGTCTCGATAAGAAAATGTTTATGATGGAAATCTCCTGTCTAAATTCCCAGCTTTCTTTTCTGCTCAGAGAAGAGCAGAGAGAAAGAGGGAACCAAAAGGCTCTAGGATAGTCAGGGATGACACCGCCTACTGGCCTTGGAAGCAGCCAGATGCCCAGCTGGGTCAGCAGCCAGCACACTGAGTCCAACACCAAAGGACACAGAAGGCCACTTGAATCTACCAGAACTGGACACCAAGTCACAACAGGGCGGCAGCAGTCCTGGATCCAGGGGGGCTTGCCACCTCCTGGGGACAGACCTATGGTGCCCCATGCCCACTGCAGCCTCTGGCCAGGCTCCCCTATGCTCAGCAATCATGAGAAAGAAACTGCTGGTGCATGGATTGGGCAGGCGTGATAGTGCATACCCATAATCCAGTACAGAGAAGGCTGAGGCAGGAGCATCGCTGTGAGTTCAAGGCCAGCTGGAGCTCCATAGTGAGCTCAAGGCCAGCCTACACTACACACTACATGGTGAGACCCTGCCTCAAACTCTCCCCTCTACCCGCCAAAAAAACACTTCTGTGCAGGAAGGAAGCCGGTCCTGGCTTATGCTGGTTTGTATGTAAGGTCCGAAAATGAACAAACTCAGGCTGTAAAATTCCTTTGCCCTCTCAACAATCAGTACTGAGGAATATGGACCCAGAGCTGCAGAGCAGAATGGCAGCCCTGTTCTTTACCTCCTCTCCCTCATTCTGTCCAACATGGGGGCTACTTTTCATCCCGCTTCCCCACCTCCCTGGGGAACGGTCTCTCCTCCATAGAAAAGGCCATCTCAGTGGATGCATGAAGACCCAACATCAACACTGACCCGACAGTACACCGGTGGGCAGGCTGTAACCCTCACACTCCTGAGAGCGGGTGCTACATGGTGCTTGTGGAGTCAGGCAGGGACAATGTGGGGTCACACGAGGAAGCAGCGGGTGGCAGGCCCCTGCTCAGGGGGACCTAGGGACCCCAGGGTTCTTTCCCAGTCACTACAGAGAAGGGACTTCGGGGCCTGGCGCCAGCCCAGAGAAGGAGAGAAAACAAGGGAAAAGAAGTGGGCAGGAGGAGTCTCTAGGCAAGATGCCACCATGAGGGACACAGCCAGGTAAGAGGGAAGGGGCTGCTCAGAGGCCTGGCCCTGTGCATCTAACCTGTGCCAGTGATGACAGCTGACCCACAGCCTCCCTCCTGTCCACACCTTCCTCAGAAAGTCAGCACCATTCCTCCTAAACTGAGGTCCACTTAGGAGCAGCCTAGGCAGCACCATGGCATACATCTGTGACCCTGCACTCTGGGAGGCTAAGGCAGGAGGATTATACCACATAGCCAGATGGGTGGCTAGACAGATGGATGGGGCTAGGGCTGTGGCTCAGTGCAAAGACCCTGGGCTTCAGAATAAAAAATAAAGACACCTGAGAACCCAGAAGTTCCCGCCATTCCCCTGTGGCTGACAGCACCTCACAGATGCCTCTTGTGAGAGCACAGTGCTCCTCCATGCACCAGGAGGCTGCTCATGCTTCTGGTCCACACACATGATCAGTTGTGGGGGTGGCTGCGGACACCCCACGAGCCCATCCCGCCTGTGCTGGGCACCATAGCCCCTTTAGAGGCCAGGGAGGACTGTGTCATCCTGGGGTTCCGCATACCCACCCCCCTGGGGCGGCCCTCACCTCCTCCCGGATGTGCTCCACCTGCTCCTCGAGTAGCTCGTTCCGCTCGCTGAGGGCCTTGTTCTTTTTCAGCAGTGACTGACCGATGCGTGCAGCCAGCTCCAGGTCCCGCTCTTTCTGCAAAGGGGGCGGGAGAATTGGAGTCACTCTGCACCCCAGAGGGCTCCGGGCCCAGAGTCAAAGCGTGCACAAAACAGGGGGCCCCAGAAGTAACAAAAGACTGCAGGAAGTTCACCATCTGGGTTGGCATTAGGGCCTGCTGAGGGGAGAAACCTCCTCCCACACACAGTGTGACTGAAAATCGTGGTGAATGTCTGAATGAAAAGAAATGTATCACATGAAAGACACACTGCCAGGAGCCCCCACCCCTGCTCTCACACTCACCCTGCTGTCCCTGCTGCTTTCTGCAGCAGCTCTGGAGCCTCCTCTCTAAGGGTCTTCAGTTGTGCTGTGTGGCTGCCTCGATGTTCTGAGCTAATTTAAAACGTATTCTTTTCAAGGCCTCTCTGACTTTAGGAAGAGCCAGAAATCATACAGAACCAGGTCTGGTGACCAAGGTAGAGGGGACACACTGCGATTTTTAGGAGCCTGCTTTTCCGCTGTACTTTTAATCACTGTTTGAACAGACACGTGGGAGAGGATTCAAGAGCTGCTGCAGAGTGGCCAGGACGATGGGGTGACTGTGTGCAAACTGAGGGGAGTACTCTAAAGGGGCTGCACTGCAATGTCTTTTACTGTAATCATTTTTTAATTTACCAACCCTGTGTATTTTGATCACCCTTGTACAGACAAGAGCAACAAATAAAGAGCAACCGAAGGGAAGTCTGCAGGTTGGTGACCTTTGTTCCTGCAGAGCCACGGACCCAACACCCCTTGTAGCTCAACTTCCGTCGTCTGCCAGAAGGCTGGCTGGCTGTGCTATCAGGGCCTGGCTCATGGAAATGCCCAGTGACTCTGCTAAATGAGTGCAGAAATCTGAAGACTTCTAGAATGAACTAACAGCTGGCACAAGGAGGCAGCTGCTCCAGCACACATCAGGCTGGAGTACTGACTTCCTACTTTTGCCACATACCAAACAAAAACATTTACAGTCACTCTGAGATACAATTATATCTGCTTTGTTTGTTTAGCTTTGTAAACTTAAGAACAGTTACATGGGCTCTATCTTTGAAAACAAAATCTTTCAAAAGGCAAAATCATGCCTAGAATGCCACACTTGAGAGACACGAGTCTTTCTACGATGACACTGAGTGGACAGAGTGGCACGGGGAGGGAGAAGCTGTCCTTGAGAGTGGACAGATGCTATGCTGGGGAGACGCCCTGGCTCCTGCTGGGCGGGGTAGCTCTAAGCAGGAATCTGCTGGCAGGATCAGGTCCACTACAGACTCGTTGTCAGCCATACACTCTGATCCCAGGGACATGTGCCATTGCTTCGGTAACGGCAATTAGAGTTTTCAATGACAAGGATGGGACAACGTGAAAACACCCAAGGCACCCCACGTTACGAGTGCTTGCTCCTATGCACCCTAGTGGTGACTGTGCCTGCCTGTGAGGGCTCTGTCGCCCCCACCTCTTCTTGCTTCATGCTAGGCTTGAGCCTGGGCCTCAGGCGTGCTGGACAAGCACTCTGCTGGTCACCGGTCCACCAGAGATGAGCTGAGCGGTGTGCCTGGCAGCACATCTGAAAGGCAGATATGGCCAGGAAGGCGAGCCGAGGTGGCCTGGAAAACACTCCCCGCTTTCTGACCGGTTACAACGTAAGATAAAGGACCTAGAAGTTTTTATTTCTGCTTCACACACCTTCTGATTACTGTGGTTACTGAGTCACAGCAGCCACCTCCTTCAGATAAACCCTGAGGGGTCAGTGAGTTCCAGCACTGCCCCAAGTCAAAGTGCAGATTGGGGTGATCCAGACCCGACCACAATGTGGCTCCTCCATACAGGGTGATGGACTTCTCGTCCCCCACGTCTCCCTGCTCTCCAAACCTCTAATGCACTTGCCTCTGTCCCCACAGCTGGCCAGGCCTCACGCTAACTGAGCCCTAAGTACCCCACCCTGGTCCACACCAGGCCTCACATCAACTGAGCTGCAAGCACCCACCTTGTCTGTGCCAGCCTCACATCAACTGAGTACCCTGCACTTGTCCATACAACTCCTACTGCCCCTCATCTTCTTACCACCCAGAAACTCAGGATGAGAAGCTACTCTGCTCTGTACCTTCATCCACACTGGCCACAGGCTACCCCCAGAAGGCCCCTTACCTCACTCCTTTATGATCTCTCAGAGCAACGGCTGTGTTTATCTGGTCCCTACTAGAAAGGACTCAAAGAACTGAGGTGGGGAGACCTGGACAGTGAGGAAGCATCCAGGGGCAACTCAAAGTCATCACCTGATCCAATGGGCTCTTGCCCCCGCCCCAGCAGGGGTAATTGGCGCTTGCTGGCTCACTACTGACCATCCCTCCGCCCAGCTTTTGCTGATACAAGCTGCGGAGCTCAACGAGCACAGGTATCATGAAAACCTTTGCCCCGCTTTGCAGCATGAACCTCTTACTGTAGACAAGGGAACCAGAGGGGCAGCACTGCATGTGCAGGCCAGGCCAGCCCAGTCACTGAGCGCCTGGAGCACGGGGAGGCTCCCACCGGTGGTACACACAGTGCAGAGGGCAGAGGCTGGGCAGTGCCCCTCTCCAGAGCTGATCTCCACCCAGGCCAGGATCCTGCCTGCCCTGCTCTTCCCTGGGGGGCAGCGCTCACCTTCTGCCCTGGAAATCTAATCTCCATGGTGACTGGAAAGAGCATTCCCTGCTGGAGGGAAGCAAGGAGTTATGGTAAAATTCTATGGTGGACATGAAAGCATTGTAAAAGTTACTCTCTAGTTCCACTTAGGCAATGGGCTGGCTGGGTTTCTCCAATTACAAGAATGCCAAAATATATACTGCTTTTCACAACCAGACAGCACATGATGAGCTTCTAAACCCCGGGAATAACCAGGAAATGACCATGGGGTTAAACAGTGGGAAACCACGAACAGGCTGCTCAGCTCCCCAGAACTGTGCTGGGTGGAAAGCCTGTCCTCTTCCCATGTGCCTGGTCTGCTCCCTCCACCTGGGCTGTGCTGCCTGAGAGTGGCCTGGATGCACCCCATGGGGGTGGGGGGCAGCCTGTCGCCCAGCTGGAGCTGGCTCCTTCTCATTCCCAACAACAGCAGCTAGGAAGCCAGGCAGCCTCTCGCCCTCCACACCAGTGGCCAAGGGCACAGCTACAGCAACTATGCAAACACCCATATGCACAGGCAGCAGGCACAGGAAGTGGGCAATGCAGCCACCACGTGATCACATGTCGGCCCGACTTGAACTGGGAACCGGCTGGTTCCAGAGAAAGGCAGGGAGCTCTGCTGCCACACTATCAGAGCAGTGGAGGAGTGCACAGAGGGCACGCACTGAGCCTTCAAAGTCAAGCACAGCACCAGTATGTACCGCATGGAGAAGCCACCCAGCATTTCTGCAAAACTACAAGACCACTTCTTGTAAGGTGAAGGACATGCAGGAGAGCGCCCAGAGGGATGTGAACCCTTGATAGCCAGCGTCTACATAAAATCCTCACTTGGAGGGCATGACCCCTGCCCATTCCTAGGGAGAAGGACAGGCTGAGATCACTGCCTGGGCCACCACCAAGTGCACATGCCCAGAGGCAGCAGTGCCGGCTCGTGCTTCCAAAGGCCACCGCCTGGCTGACAGTCAATGGGACTGCAGCATGAAGACCAGAACGGCCAGGCCCTGCCCGTGTTTCCACCATATCCTCCCTCTGCTATAACTAATGGCCATGTGCATGTCTGCAAGTCACCCTACTCGAATCCCGAAGAGATACTCATGGGTGGTCACAGGACCCAGCATCATCTGGAGCCTGCCGGGGAAATGAGGGCCTAAGAGCTGGACTGTCCACAGCACTGGGCTGTGGCATATGTCACCCTTCTCTGGACACAATGCCAGAAAGGCACCGGGACGCAGCTGACAGCATAGTTCTTGCAGTACACACAGCCCACCTCACACACCTCACCATGCTTGCTGTGCTCATGTCCACACGGACTCTGAGTAATATTCCACTAGGCTGACACAAGCAGAGGCCAAAAATATGTCTGGCCTTTTTGCCCATTTCTGGATGCACTTAAAATACACTGTCACCTTGCATTTTAGTTTCTCAAATCTTGAACCATACTGGGTATTCTAAGTATTTAAATGCCATTGCATTTTGCAGCACCAATACATTTCTTTAAAAACACAAGACATCTACACAAAATTAGCTACATAAGCCTACAGCTACAAAAGTAAGGCATGCAATGATTCTGTAGGGGCTCAGCAATCTCTGAGTCCTGAAACATGAGAAATCACCATCAGTCAATAACAGACAGCTCTCCTGCATCCCCGGCCACTTACCTCCTCAAGAAGCCGAGTGACAGCATCTATGTCATTGTACGTCTTAGTCATCTGGCCAACTCTCTCAGCACAGAGAACTGTAAGAAACAGAGAGGACAGTAAGCTGCTGACACCATGCCTGCTAAACACAGGGTCCCCAGGCAGGGGGCCGAAAGATTGGTCTGGCTGGGTTTGAACCCCACAGTCAACACCGTGGGCGGGTTCCATGTCTCACATGAGGTCTGTGGGTGGGAAGGAGCCTGAATCCTTGACACCATGCATGTGTGTACCTGGGTGAATGTGTGTATACCTGTGTATGTGCATGTATCAAGGGTGCTGAGGACCAGGCAGAGGACTGGAAGGGACTCTGGTCTTGTGCAAGCTCAGCAAACAGAACTGTGAAAGGAAGGGTCACAGAGTGGCCAGCTGTGCATGACCAGAATCCTGATCACAGGCTGAGTGGGGCCTGCAGACAGCAGCCATAATGTAATTGTTAGCCTACTGTCCTGTGTGGATGATTTTATAATGGCACAGCCCTTCCGCCCCCAAGGCCTCAAGTACAAAGATTCCCTACCAGGAAGACTGGGGAAGTGCACATGTACACACACACATGCACGCACATGCACACGTGCACACACACACACATACACACAGTGCAGTTTCATTACACAGACAACTGACTGGTCACAAGAGGCAGCTCAGGAGCCACTGCAGGACACCCCCCACCCCCCTTGTCTTTGCTTCTTTTCCACTGGAGAAAATAGTTACACAAAGAAACAAGGCTTTACTTAGTCTGCTGAACAATCTCAGGGCTGTCTTATTTTAAATCAATGGCAAGGAGCTGATCTTCAGCAAACATCCAGGAAGGAACATGGGTTTTACCCTACGGCAGGAGGAGGGAACAGAAGTGGACTTAAGGTCAAAATGTGGTTTTTGAAACCTGTTGTACGGGAGCCAAATGAAACTTCTTAGGAATGCTATGTATGAGGGTGGGAACTTCCACAACAACCTCAGTCGGTACTGGCCCAGTGATGGAGAATGGAGAGTGTAACCAAGTCCAACTCAGCAGCACTGCCCATGGCACACTGCCACTGGAACTCAATAGGATTCTAAATATTTTATCCAGTGCATTAGAGACCATCCTATGGAATGAGCCCAGAGAAATCTGATCTGCTGCAATGCTTTTCTAGCTAAGGAGAAGCCCGAAATCTGGCTCTCAATCTGCAACCTACCAAGCCAGAGCTCTGAGGACCAGAAGCATCTCTCCCCAGGTCAAGACTCCTGCCAGGGTCCCGACAGCCACCGAGGGCCAAGGCAAATGTATCTAATTTGATGCAGATGGTGTCTGGCTCAACTGCTCTAGATAGTTTCAGAGCCCAAAGCCAAGGAAACCCTAAGGTGAAGATTCCTAGGCCGCCTCCAGGAGTTACTGTTCTGGATGTACAGCTGATAGTCCACCAGGAAACAAGGTGTGAAGGCCCCACTTCTCCAGCACTGTATTAACCAGAGATTACACTTCATTCTATTTTTCAGGACTGGGGTTTGAACCCAGACCCCTCATACGGCTGCAACCCCAGCCCCAGTCTTGTTAAGCCACTAAGTTGCCCCCACTGGGCTTGAACTTGCCATCCTCTTGCCTTGGCCGTCCCGAGGGCATGCACCAACAGCCCAGCTATGCTTGAGTTCTGTGCCCTGAGAGCTCTGAGGTTATTCATGTAGAGGATCACATGTGGACAGCCACATGCAGTTGCAAGGAAAAACACAGAGGAAAGCTGCACACCTAGCCTGGTTTCTGCCAGTGGTAACACACGGCAATACTAGCACTCATGTGACACCACGGCTGGGTGCCAACACACTGCTGACTCCTCTTTCTCCATCTGTGTGTGCACGCATGCACAAGCACATGGGCGTGAAGGTCAGACAGTCATCTCAGGGGTGCAAGTCCCTTTAGCTGCTGCTGCAAGGACCCCGTGTCACCCTTTCTACATGGCCAATTTCTAGAAGCCTTAAAGTACATCAACAACTAAATCTTAATAAACGCAGGCCCAGGTCTCTCGAGCCACCCCTCACACACTGCAAAAGGACATGCAAGGCACCCTTGGCATCCCTGAGCCAGGACAGCTGCAGCCAGGGGCACTCGGGGTACAAGGTTCCCCACGAGTAAGAGGCACACATGAAAAGCCACGCTTTGTTCCACAGGATGAGAGTGTATAATACATAAAATATGTATAAAATACATATTATCCCAGGGGTGGGGATGTATATACTTATAGTACCCAGAAAAATGAAGACACCCACAAAAATACTGACATTACGACAAGATCGTACATCTTACTTTTTGTGCACTTTAAAAATTTTCTATAGTGACCACCTACTGATGGACAGAAGCGACTCAGATGAGTTTCAGGGAACACAATTGACTTAGTGCTGGGCTCCTCTGAGTCTCCTCCTCAGAGAAACTAACAGTAGCAACAGAGCTCTTCTAGTTGCCAGCTAGACATGCATTTCTGTGGGGTGCACCCTGACATCTGGTGCATAAACTGGTGATTCCAGTTTCTCACACTCACAAGGGGCCCAACGGTGGGTACATCAGCATGGGACTGGGCACTGCATTAACACCGCTGCACGCATGGGACCTAGGGCCCAGTGAGGTTGGGTAACTTCCCCAATGCCATACAGCAGCAAGGGGCACATTTTGAAACAAGCACAGATGCGCAGCACTACAGCAGCTAACATCCCTGTTGCCCAACAGGAAGGGCAGGGACCTGGTGCTCTTTCTCACTGAGTTCCACAGCAGCCTGCAAGGTGGGTACTGCTCCAGGGCTGGGTCCTCAGGTGAAAAAGCTTAGAGGCCAGGGACCCAATGAAGGTCAAGAGAGCAGAGCTGTGCCTCGGGGTCCCAGTGGGTCTGGCTCCTGTACTCAAACACAGCCATAGGGCGCATAGGACCAAGGACAGGAACAAATCAACAGTGCTGAGAAGTGTGTGGACACAGCGGAGGCCTGTGGGCGTGGAGAGGCACCTAGACCTTGGTTTCTAGCGATGTCAGGGCCAGGACAGCCCTGCAGCTTCTGGGTCCTGGATTTCCTCTTCCAAGGACGAGAGGTGTGTGGACCAGCACGGCCTGGCCCCTCAGTTTTAAGGTCCCATGGGCTCTGTTCTTCAAGTATCGATGTCCCAAACACTAAGTCTACAAGAGCTGTGAATTTCTCTCTACAGAAAGAATACTGCAAAAGGAAGTTCTGTTTCTGACTCAGGAAGACCCAATAACTGACCCAATAACTCCCTTCCATCCAAAAATGTGTCCAAGAAGTAGAGGGGCAGCCGTCAATCTATATAACAACGTAATACAAGAAAATCTTGGTCCAAATATTTAAAAACGAAGTAAAGTGACCCAGCTCACCCCAACGAATACCCATTACCATGCACCAAGCTGTGCTAGCAGGCAGCACACCTGCCCTCCTCCCAGGGTGCACAGGAGACAAGGTGTCCCCTGAGATAGGATGTCCCCAAGGTCCCTTGAGAACCTTTCAGCAGTGCAGGTTTTACAAGGGGCCATGGGGAGCACTGAAGGCTGCAGAGGAAGTGGCCACAGGGCACAGTGACAGGACCAGCACCATGTCAAGGCTCCTGACCGAGCCAGGGGACCTTGGGGGGCAGCAGGATGGTGGGCACTGGGCTCTTTCGTCCTGAGTCTGAGATGAGATACAGGGGGAGGCAAAGGGGAAACAGGCTGGTAGGAAGCTCAGCAAAGACCTCACAGGGCAAGAAAATGGAGCGGGGGCAGACACAGAGGGAGACGTAGATGGAGCCCCAGACGCAGAGTAGGAGGGGCAGCAGCAGATCTGGAGTGGGCAGCGAGCTGAGGCCCACTTGCACGGCGGCCTGGCCAGGCAGCTGAGTGTCTCCTTGTCACTCGTTCCACCAAAGGCTGACAGGCCGCTGCCCATGACAGACCTTGCTCCTCATTCATCTTAGGGAAGCGAACAAACAGCTCTCACTGCTTTTTTTTTTTTTTTTTTTTTTTTTTTTTGGTCTTTTTCTTTTTTATCGGTACCGGGGATTGAACTCACGACTGCCTGCTTTCAAGGCAGGCGCTTATGCCGCTGAGCTAAACCCCCAGGCCCTTTTCACCGCTTCTTACACTAATTCCTGCAGCCTCTCTCCCACGTGGGCCAACTTTACACATCTTTATGTGTGGTTGGAGGGGATAAATATTTCACACCAGCATGTGTGTGTATAAAAATAAAATGTCCTATTGTCTACCTTTTATTTTACTCTAATTTCTTTATACTTTGTGTTTTCTCATATAAGAGAAACCATGTAATACTGAAGATTGTGTGTCTGATTCAGTTCACTGAGCACTGAGTAGGGACACAGATCTTTTGCAAAAGGGTAGAGAAACCAGAGGCAGGGAGGGGGAGAGAAGAGGAGAAAAAGGAATTGTGTACGTGCACCAGCTCCCCACAATGGTAATCATTAACTAAGCGAACATGCAGTAGTAAAGAGACAGACAGACAGACAGACAGATAAAAAGGAATTACCACTGGCCCTCCAGAAGACACCAAGATCAAGCAGCAAATATCCGAGGAGACACACAGGATATACCCACTCTCTTTGTACTCTGTTGCTTGTTTTTGGCCTCACTCTGGTCATTTCTTTAATTGGAGCCAGACTTTCCAACTTTTCTTTAGAATCCAAGATCTATTCTCTCCCCTTCACGACCAATGATTTTTCTTCTTTTCACGTACCCAATATTGATATTGTAGAGTCAAATTAATTTTCTATAATTTTTCTTATAAAAAACCACAAATACATTGAGTGAGCTTTCACAAGGGGCCCAGAGTCCTCGAATTTCAACATGCCTGACAGAGGCAGGGATAGGAATCAGGTGTCACAGAAGTGACCAGCAAGGTCCATGGGTCCGCTCCACTATGTGATCACAGCCTGCAGACCAGCACTCCTCGTCAGTGACAGGAAGTGGGCCCCAGCAGGATGGCAGGAGAAGGCTGTCTTCAACCTGGCCCTCGTCCCTCAGGAATGTCCACCCTGCTCATCAGGTGTGGGTGGAGATTCATAATCTGGGAGCTACGAAGCT